AACAAACAAAAATTAAAGCTTAACTTGGGCAAGATGGCTCAACAGGTAAAAGACCTCAGTTAGAGCCCGTGAACCAGTGAAGGAACAGAATTGACGGTGGAATTTGGAATGACTCTGATACCACATGTTGTGTACACACACACACACACACACACACACGTTTTAAAAAGGTGGGGAGAAAACACCCAAATTGGCATACTAAGACTTCAACAACCATCCACTAACAGCCCACATCTCTTCACAGCGTGGACTTTAAGAGTCAGAATGTGACATCTGCCTAGCCGGACAAGCCCCGGATCTGGGAGCCTTCATTTCTGAGCGTTGGATGGGGCAGCGGTCTTCTCTGATGAAGCTGGTGAGAGGATCAAACGCAAGCCGTAGCACAGCTCAGGACGGAGGTCTGAACGGCAGGGGAAGGGGGAGGAACCACTTACCACAACCAAGCACGTGATTGGGTAGATACTGGTGCTGGGCGTGGCGGGACTCTGCGTGGACGCCCGCAAGAACCCCCACGGCCATCCAGCGAGGCCGATCCGACCTCCATCTCTGCTTCACAAGAGACGCTGGGCTCGGGCTCGGAAGGGCACTGCGACTTGGCCAAGGGCATACAGAAGGCAGCGGGGCTGAGCCACACTCGCAGCAGTCTTATTCAAGACCTCACCCGCCGCCCAGTGACACCTTCCCCTAGCGCTCCTGGCTTTTCCTGGACCCCGCAAGCCTGCCTGCGCCACGACGGGTCACTCGCAGGACACCAAGGCCCCCTCAAGCCTCTCACCTCTCACAACCGCGAGGTCCCACGTCCAAACCCGGAAACTGTCAGGCTGCGACGGTGCCGCCTCAGGAGTCCTCCGCTGCTCGCCTAGGCATGCAACTTCTGTTCCGCCGTGACTTTCGCCAGCAGTGCTCTAACGGAAGTGTTTCCTTACCGGCCTGGGAGACCCAGGTCACTGGCTTTGAAAAATAGAAGGTGCAAAAATAGATAGATGATAGACAGACAGACAGGCAGATATTTAAAAATTCACAAAAGCGGCTAGGGTTTCTTTGGCTAGCTCTGAATACCCCATCTTTCCTGGATCTCCCAAATGGCTCTGAACAGCGCAGTGGTTCCTCGCCACCTCCTTGCACTATTTCTGTCACATTCCTGCCTTGACCCTCTCAGCCATTCTCCCTCCCCTTGGATCATGCCTCTAGGTGCATCTTCTCCCCCAGACCTAACCCGTAGTCCTATATGTACTCAGGAAAATGCTGAGAGCAGGATTCAACCAGATTAGAGCCCTGAGGCCAGAACCACCTCGATGTAGCGTGTTTTTGCAAGCTCCACCATAACACCTAGAGTTTTTTTGGTTTGGTTTGGTTTGGTTTGGTTTGGTTTGGTTTGGTTTGGTTTGGTTTGGTTTGGTTTGGTTTGGTTTGTTGTTGTTTTTGTTTTGTTTTGTTTTGTTTTGTTTTGTTTTGTTTTGAGACAGGGTTTCTCGTTTAGCCAAGACTGTACTGGAACTTGATCTGTAGACCAGGCTGGCCTCCAATTGAGAGATCCACCTGCCTCTGCCTCCTGAGTGCTGGGATTAAAGGCTAGCGCCACCACCGCTCGACATAACATCTAGTTTTAAAGCGTGAACGCTTGGTGCAGCACAAATTGCATGTGGACAGTTCAAATGCTACAACAATAGCATGAGTAATGGAGAGGCGCCACCTTCTGGTCTCTTCCTGTCACTACTCTCACCAAGAGACTGGATTTGGACGGAGGGAAGGAGTGCGGCATTTTCCCAATAGGTTTTCATTTTGTTTTGTTTTCTTTGTGTGTGTGCAGGAAGCTGAAACACTTCTGACTGAAGCTAGGGTTACAGGCAGTTGTGAGCCACCTAACGTGGGTGCCAGCAATGAAACTAGTACAATGCTCCAATAACTGCTTGGCTATCTCTCCATCCCTCCAACAGGGTTCTTTAATATGTTAACTCTTCACTTTCTGGGCCTGACTCTCCACCTCATCCTCCTATTTCAGAGATATAGATAACCTCAGTGGGCATGTCCCCCTCAGTTCCACACACTGAAACCGTAACGTTGAAGAAAATGGTAATAGGAGGTAGGGTCTTTGCAAAGAGAATAGGTCACAAAAGTAGAACACTTGAGGATGTTGTTAGCATATTTAAAAGACCCCCAGCTGGGCATAGTGGCATATACCTTTAATCCCAGCACTCCTGAGACAGGGGCAGGAAGATCTCTGCAAATTTGAGGTATGCCTGGCCTACATATCTAGTTCAAAGCTAGCCAGGGCTACAGAGTGAGACTTTGCCTCAATAAACAAACAAACTTTTTAAAAGCAAACAAAAAGAGCCGGCCATGGTGGCACATGCCTGTAATCCCAGCACTCTGGGAGGCAGAGGCAGGAGGATCTCTATGAGTTTGAGGTCACCCTGGTCTACAAAGTGAGTCCAAGACAGCCAAGGCCACACAGAGAAACCCTGTCTTGAAAAAAACAAAAACAAACAAACAAACAAAAAGTCTATAAAGAGCCCAGTGTGGTGATACATACCTATAATCCCAGCACTTAGAAGGTGAAGTCAGGAGAATCAGTTTAAGGACAGTCTCAGCTACATTGGGAGCTCAAGGCTAGCCAAGGCTATATGTAACCCTATCTCAAAATATTGTTTAAAACAATCAAAAACGCATACATATAAATATTACATATATATATGTAATATATATGTGTGTATATATATGTTCCTTCATGGTGGCTTACATTCATAAATCAGCACTCAGGAAGTAGAGGCATGAACATAGAGTTCAAAGCCAACAGAAACAATATTGTGAGTTCCAGGCCAGCCTGGACTATAGAGTGAGATCTTTCTCAGAAAATTTTTTTTTGTTTTCCTAAGAATTCTGGCACACACCTTTATTCCCAGCCCTTGGAAGGCAGAGGCAGTTGAATGTCTACTGTTCAAGGCCAGCCTTGTCTACAGAGCAAGTTCCAGGACAGCCAAAGCTACACAGAGAAACTCTGTCTTCCAAAAAACAAACAAACAAAAATCTGTAAGATTAACTGTACAAGCCCGGCAGTGGTGGTGCACACCTTTGATCCAAGCAGAGGCAGAGGCAGGCGGATCTCTGTGAGTTTGAGGCCAGCCAGGTATACAGAGTGAGTTCCAGGACAGCCAAGGTCACACCGAAAAACACTATCTCGAAAACAAAAACAAAACCGAAAAATTAATTTTGGGTCAGGTGCACACCTTTAATTCCAGCAGAGGCAGGTGGATCTCTATGAGTTTGAGTTTGAGGCCAGCCTGGTCCATAGAGAGAGTTCCAGGACAAGCGAAGGCTACACAGAAAAACCCTGTCTCAATAAATAAATAAATAAAAGATTAACTTGTTTTATAATCTTAAAGAAGAGAATACAAAAGTAGTCTTTTGAAAAGGCTCCGGAAGCAAGACAGAGCTGTGCAGTGCTTGGGATCCACCCACACTTCAGTGTGATCCCACAGCCCTATTCTTAGCCCTGACTAACTAACCTCAGACTGGCTGGGTTCCCGGTGGGGCCGTGCTGCTGACAGCTGGATCATCACGGCCGACTGCCGACTCCAGTCTCCGGTGGCAACTGTGTGGTGAATACACTACAGCATGGGGAAGAAACATATAAGGGTAGGGGGAGCTGAAGAAATCAAAAAAGCACTGGGGCTGTGGCAGGGGTCCAAAGATCAACTGGGGATTCCTGGTCGAATGTGAGATTTGAGGCGGTGAGAGCTTAGAAAAAAAAAAAAAAACTCTCTGATTCCAGGAGTTTGGGAGTCCCGTGTTCTTCCAGCTTTAGAACCAGAATGGTCTACCTAAGATGATCATCCCTCTGCCACCTAATTCAAGCGGTCAGTAAAACCTCTGATAGCGAGTGAGCACTCACTCACTCCCCGGCTATATGTCCCTTCCCACAGCCAGCTGTCAGGCAGTCGACCTGAATAGCCTATGTGACTGACTGTTCTTTGAACTCCACTGACCTATGCACAGGGCGGGCATGTCCTAGGAAGCACAACAAAAAGCCAGGAACAAAAGTGCCCTGCCCAGCTGAGTTTTAACTAGTAAATCTGTAGGCAATGCATGCCCCAGGATCATGAAAATAAATGTCTGTCTGCTGTTACAGCCAAGGAGATTGGGCTGAGTTTGTTTGTGGTTGGTGCCACAGCACTGTTGCAGAAGCTGTCTGAAGCTTCTCTGCACTGCATCTGCTTCAGTGACTCCTCCTGACAGAAATGAGACCAAGCGAGGTCACCCCTCCATCCCTCCCCTGTCCTCTGTTAACTCGCTGTGTCTGACCAATTGGAATCACACATTTGGTTACATGAGATTCTGAGGGATTTCTTCTAGCTGAGGATGAAGACCTGTCAACTTTGCCCTCACCTACATCATCAAGGACTAGCACAAGACAGAGTTATCCTAGATACTCTGGGTACATAAGTGAGATAGATGGGTTAGCAAAACGGTAATCTCCACTTACCCGCATCTCCCCGTTTTCTTTCTTTCTTGTTTGTTTTATTTTTTCAAGACATGGTTTTTCTATGTAGCCCTGACTGTCCTGGAACTTGCTTTGTAGACCAGGCTGGCCTTAAACTCACAGAGATCCACCGGCCTCTGCCTCCTAGAGTGCTGGGATTACAGGTGTGTGCTACCATGCCTGGAATCCCCCTATTTCTTAGTGTCTAATGTCCAAACAAAATAACTTCATGGGACAGTTTCCTTATTGGCTGAAATTTCTTAAGAGACCTCAGACAAGAATAAATCCAACTTAGCCACTCTCAAATTTCTGACCCACAGAATGGAAGACATGATGAGTACTTGTTGCTCTAAGATGCTAGATTGTAGGGTCATTCATCACAGAGCGTAGATAAAAGGCTGTATTCACTTGGAGACCCAGTTCTCCAGGAGACGGGTCTTACATCTTGGTCTGGTTCCTCTGAGACTACAGAGCTACCACAGAATCCCAATGTCAAGACAAAAACCACAGACATGGAGCCAGGCTGCCTATGCATTCACAGGCTGTTTATTATCCAAGAGGGAGGAGGAGGAGGAGAGAGAGGAGAAAACCCAGACACCCCTGGGGCTCAAGGGAAAGTGAACAGAAAGACTCCTCTTCTTCCTCTTGCCACTGACCCAGAAGACTCCAGTTACAGAAATCTCAGGGTGGCTTAGGGGCCTTCAGGAGGCCTGGCAGATCTGCTGTTGGCAGGGGACAGGATTCCCACAGGGGCAGGTCCCAGGCTTGGAATGGCTTCTGTGTACACAAAATAACTCTCTTCAAAAGGCACTGGTGGAGGTGAGCAGTAGTAAGGCTGCCCCATCGAAAGCCAGACCCACTGTCCCAGGTCTGAGTTCTGCTCCCCAAGACCAAGCCAGCCTTCCTCAGGCTGGTCTCTGAGGTCCATGTTCCCCTCCTCTCCCTTCCCTCAGCCCAAAGATGAGCCGGCAGGCAGCAGAAGGACAGGTCAGGCCACAGGGTGAACGATCCTCTTCGGGGCTTGTGCATCTGACAACTTCTAGGCCAGGAGCCCCAAGCGGGTGACTTTGGCGGAGAGGAAGGAGTGGATGATAAAGACCAGAGCTTTGGGACACGAATGCAGGTCCAGCTGCTGCAGAGTGTACAGGAAGAAGGGTCAGAGGCTCTGCCCAGCCACCAGGCGAGCATCCCCAACCCCAGGACGCAGAGGTAGCCCTCCACTTACAATCTCTCCTTCAGCACCCCCAAAGTCCAGGAAAAGGAGGCTAGTGCCATCATCCGATGACATCTGAAGCTTCTCAAAGGGCTGCCTCAGCAGCACGGCCCGGGCTGCTCCTGGCTCAGCAGCCCACAGCGTGAAGCCCTTGTCAATGTGCACAGACAGGCTGCAGGGACGGCCATTCCACGTGCAGGCTGCAGGAGAGCAGTGAACACAGGCCACTGGCACCTCAGAGATCACAAGCCCCACCCTACTCCTAAGGCAGCTCCAGAACATGGCTGGATTTCCCCGGGGATCAGAGGCTCTGACACCTGAACAACCACTGGCCTAGTCACCCTATCCTAAAATACAGAAGGGAGGGCCTTCACAGAACCCACAGGTGCATCTTATCCCGTTTCTAGCAAAACCATATGTGTCGGGGAAGCTTGGGCTGGGGTATGGTTCAGTGGAAGAGACCCTGTACAAAGTCTTGGGTTCAATTCTCAGCACAATAAAATAAATGAGAGTTAAAATCTGTGATAGACACATGAATTTCATATGAAATGGATAATTTAGATTGACATAAAAAAAGTATTCACTGTTTACCTGAAATTCAAATCTAACTTATCTTACCTACAGCCTCACCCCCAAGACAAAGTCTCACTTGTGAAGCCCTGGCTTACCAGAAACTCTCTCTGTAGACAAGGCTGGCCTCAAACCCACAGAGATCCACCTGTCTCTGCCTCCCCAAGTGCTGGGGTTAAAGGTGTGCACCAGCATGGATTCCTCACCAGCAGAATCACAGGGAACAGAAGACCCCAAGGGGGAAAAAACCTCACCTTTCCTCCCAGAATACCTGCATACCCCAAACAGGGGCCTCAGAAAAAGCCCAGCCTCCATTTGTTGTGCCCCCCAGAAGCACCATCTAAAGAGAGAAACTTAATGCCTCTAGGCACAAGAGGCTCCACCTGGCACACCTGTAGACACTTCTTGCACATTTTCGGCAGCCCGGTGACAGCCATCCACCAGCTGTCGGGTCCAGGTGGCCAACTCTTGCGGCGACTCCACACTGAACAGGTGAGTGTCCACACCGTGACGTGTGCCCGTGCGCAGGGCAAAGGACAGTTCTGCATCATAGGGCACTGAGCCCTTGGAGGGGCCGGAGTGCACCAGCCTGTGTGCAGAGCAGAGGAAAAGCACGAGCCTTGGGGCAGCGTGGGGCAGGGCGGGGCAGAATGGGGCAAAGATCTGCATCCTGCAGTCGGGGGGCAGGAGTTGCAGGGGGTACACCTCCTGCCATCTTGCCCTTACTCTCAGCCTCGCTGTCTTCACACGTGCTGTTCCCTCTGCCTGAATACTCCTACCTATTCCCCACATGGCTCAATCCCTCGCTTCTTCTTCTTCTAGATCTTTGCTCAAATACTCCCTCCTCCAAGACCTGTCAAAGAGTTCCTTTTTCACTCATTAGCCTTACTTTTCACCAGCACTGCAGAAATTGTATACTTTTAATGCTCTTGTTATTTAGACAGGGCCTCACTTTGTCACCTTAGGTAGCCTGGAACTCTCTATGTAGACCAGGCTTGCTCCTCCAGCTTCTGCCTCCTGAGAACTGGGATTACAGGCATGTGTCCCCACACTCAGCTGAAATTATGTGTGTGTGATTATGTGTGTGTGTGTCTCCGTGTGTGTGTGTGTGTGTGTGTGTGTGTAGTGGTTGTTGTTTTGCTTTGTTTTGTTTTGTTTTGTTTTGTTTTTGTTTTGTTTTGTTTTGTTTTGAGAAAGGATTTCTCTGTGTGGCCCTGGCTATCCTGGAACTCTCTGTAGACCAGACTGGCCTCAAACTCAGAGATCTGCCTGCCTCTTCTCCACAGTGCATCACCACCACACACCCAAAATTATATTTTACTTACTAGTTTTGGTAGGCTTTTGGCTGACCGTTTCAACTAGAACATCACTAAAGTATAAGTTTTATCTATTTTATACAACACTATATTCCCAGTAATTTAAACTATGGGCACAAAGTAGGTATTTAATAAATACTTGTTGTCTTAATTAACGAGTCACTTGATTAAGTGGGCAATCCAAAACCTGCCACTTGTCAGCTGGCCCAGAACCCAGTCCAGGGAGGAGTTATGGTAACAAGGGCCCCAGATCTTGCAGCTTGATTCTCATTTGCTGTGTGGCCTTAGGCAACTCATTGGCCTTCTCTGACTAACAGACCTCTAAGTTCTGGCCCTCAGGCGCCTCTGTTCCTCATTCCACCCACTCTCAGTTTCCCTCTGGAGTGTTAACTGAAGCTCCACACTCCAGCCCTGAGACTCAAGATCCTCCAGTCCCCAAGCATCTGAGCCACATTCCCTATGTTCCCCACATATATTCTGGACATGACTTGGCATCTCCTTGAACCTCCTCTATAGGCACCCCAACTCCAGTCCCACTGTCCCCACCAACACAGACACGCTCCAAGCCTCCTATTCACCCAGAGCGTCTCCTGGTCTCTCCCATCTGGCACGAACTGAGCCTGTGAGCTCCCACCCATGCACTTTCCACTGAAAATGCCACTGTTCTTTCTCCGTTGTTCCTCCACCCACCTGCTTCCCTCAGCCCCAAAGCTATGGCAGCCTCCCAGCTTCTGGACTCCCTTCCCCAGCGAAAGTTCTCTGTGGCAATCACAGGGCTTCCTGTACCACACAGCCCAGTCTCCTGACTCGCCAGCGTAACCCCTCTCACACAGCCTGCCACAAGTGTAAAGACACTATTGGGGCAGAGGAGATGGCTCAGTGGACAGAGGGCTTGCTGTTCAAGCATGAGGACCTGAGTCTGGGTCCCCAGCACCCACGAAAAAGCCAGGCATGGTGTGCTGTGGAAAGCTGAGACGGGGGCCACTGACCTGCCAGTCTAGCCGAAACAGCAAGCTCTGAGTTCAATTCTAGACCCTATCTTAAAAAAATAACAGGGAGTGGGAGTGAGAGTACACACCTTCAGTTCCAGCACTTAGTGGCAGAGGCAAGGCAGATCTCTGCAAGTTCAAGGCCAAATCGGTCCAGATTACAAGCTCCAGACCAGCTGGAATACAGAGTAAGATCCTGCCTCATAAAATGTAATATATATATAATATATATATACATACATATATACAGAAATATGCATGTATGTATATACAAATGTGTATGTGTGTACATATACATGCCATGTGTGTATACATACATGTACATGAACATGCTCTAGCCCTTCATGCCTCTGTACCTCTGACCACACCTAAGACGTTCTACTACCTTTCCTCAAAAGCACACTTCTCATTTATCAAAGTCCATTTCAAGTGTCACCTCCTCATTACATCTTCCCTGGCCAAGCCAGACAGCTAAGTGGCTCCTTTAACCTTCAACGCGATGGCTATTCTGGGTCTGTCTCCCCACTCTGGATTCTCCCTGAGGGCAGGGACTGTGTCCCCTTAACCATGCAGTATGAGAGGTAGGTATCAGTAATTGAATGACAGCACTTTTCATTTTTCTGTTCTGAGCCTCAACTTTATACAAGAAAACTGCAGCCTAGAAGGAGCAGAACTTGCTTCAGAGCAGCTGGGGACAACTGGAGGCAGAACAGGGCTAGGGTTTGGGGTTTCTGGGGCCCGCCTGGAATACCATCCTCCCCAGTCTGAGCACAACACTGAGAGCAACACAGTTCCCCTGCTCCTCCGTACCTGGTGGCAATGAGTGGGGCAGTGCGGGCTGGATTGCTTAGGGCCTCTCGGCTCTGGGGGACGGAGCAGTAGAGGAGCAGCTCCTTCTCAGTCAGCAGGGCCAGAGTTGGGGCCGCACCCCCACTGGGCAACTGCAAGCAAAATGGTAATGAGGATGGGTAGAATGCAGAGAGGTCCAAGGGCCAGGAGGGCATGGGGGCATGGGGGACCAGAAGGGGGCCCAGCAAGCACCTGTTCTGTCAGCCAGCCAATCTGCTTGATGTCCTGGCTTCCAGCTGTACCTGTGGCTGTAAGCAGTGCCTGAAGCTCGTCCTTGGCCCAAGGTATGAAAGTGTTGATCTGGGCTTGGATAGCACCTGCCCATGACCTTGCACTGGCCTCATCCTTGGCCCTCAAGAAGAGAGTGCCCTGGCCATCTGCTGCACAGATCTCCAGATACCTGAAGGCACAGTGGATAAAACACAGGGCATGTCACTGGTCAGCTATCCAGCCTAGACATTCAGCTGAAGAAACCCACCCACTGCCAAACCGGAAGTAACCACACAGGGCGTCCATGAGTTTGTTGCTAGAATCCCAGCCACAGGTGTTAGAACCTGGTGGGATCTAGGGACAAGAAGCTACAACACACACACACACACACACACACACACACACACACACACACACATCTGTACACCCACTCAAACTTGTGCTAGAAGTCACAGTTATGGTATAGGGGCCCAGTAACCTTTTCTTTTGGTTTCCGTGAAAGGTTCCTGTTGAGCTAGCTTTTCCAATGCTCCCTGATGCCTAGAATCTAAGTAATCCATCTATTCAGAGGGGAAACATATTAAGAATATGTTAAGAACATTTGTTATCAAAGCACTATCAGGCTGAGGCAGGCAAGAGCAGACTAAAGAGACTCTATAAAAAAAAAA